AGCATCTCTGCCATTTCCAAGTTTCCTGTTACTCTTTCCCCCTCCTCACTGACCAGTGGGCCTACCCTCTCCTTGGTCTTCCTCTTGCTTCTAATGTATTTATAAAAAGTCTTCTTGTTTCCCTTTATTCCCGTAGCTAGTTTGAGCTCATTCTGTGCCTTTGCCTTTCTAATCTTGCCCCTGCATTCCTGTACTGTTTGCCTATATTTATCCTGTGTAATTTGTCCTACTTTCCATTTTTTATATGACTCCTTTTTTATTTTTAGATCATGCAAGATCTCGTGGTTAAGCCAATGTGGTCTTTTGCCATATTTTCTATCTTTCTGACACATCGGAATAGCTTGCTTTTGGGCCCTTAACAATGTCCCTTTGAAAAACTGCCAACTCGCCTCAGTTGTTTTTCCCCTCAGTCTTGATTCCCATGGGACCTTACCTATCAGCTCTCTGAGCTTACCAAAGTCTGCCTTCCTGAAATCCATTGTCTCTATTTTGCTGTTCTCCCTTCTAGCCTTCCTTAAAATTGTGAACTCTGTGATTTCGTGATTACTTTCACCCAAGTTGCCTTCCACTTTCAAATTCTCAACCAGTTCCTCCCTATTTGTTAGGATCAAATCTAGAACAGCTTGCCCCCTGGTAGCTTTTTCAACCTTCTGAAATAAAAAGTTGTCTCCAATGCAGCCCAAGAACTTATTGGATAGTCTGTGTGTGTGTTATTTTCCTAATATATATCTGGATAGTTGAAGTCCCCCATCACCACCAAAACTTGGGCTTTGGATGATTTTGTTAGTTGTTTAAAAAAAGCCTCATCCACTTCTACCACCTGGGTAGGTGGCCTGTAGTAGACTCCTAGCATGACATTGCCTTCTGAAATAACTATTTCGAAATAGCACATCCACCATCAAAATAGTGTAGAATTATATCGAAATAGTGCGCCCACACTCATTGGAGCCTGAATCGCATTTAAAGCCCCTGGAAGCACTCCTGGAAGGTCATCAGGAGAGCCGTCCACTTCCTGCAGCTGCTTCCTAAGACTAGCTGAGACTTGTGCTTAAAGGGGTTCCTCTCTACAGCTGCATCTCACACTCTTCTCCTCCACTGTTTATCTCCTCAAGGGACACCAAACTCACACCGAATGCTCTGGTTGCCCTTGCAGATACCACGGAACTTCCAGCTTGGAGCTGGAGCTTCTGCAAAGCAGGGCCAGGCTCTTGGGCCTCCTGCTGCGCCTCATGGTGCACTTCATCCACATTACCCATGTGGTGCTTCAGGACCATGACAACCAGCCCAGACTGGGGGACCCCTTCACCCAAGCCCTGGTGCTCCTGATGCATCAAATCCCCCACCATCCTCTGCTTCTGGCAGAGGGAGACCAGTCATGACTGGTGGGACCGCATTGTCCTACAGTGGTGGGACGACCAGCAGTGGCTCCAGAACTTCTGCATGCACAAGGCCACCTTCCTGGAGCTCTGTGAGTGGCTTGCCCCTGCCCTTAGGACACCCATTTATGACCCGCTATCCTCCTGCAGTAGTGCGTCGCCATTGGTCTATGGAAACTTGCCACATCACATA